AGCAAATTAATGAGGTATAGATATTAGAAACTAGGATGATTCCCCTAAAATGTGTAAACACCGTGAACTCTGCATTTTCATAACTTTCATTGCTTTGTTTGTTTGAGAGATCAGACCGACATATTAATGTCTGGCTCAGCCAATAAAGTGAGTTTGCCTGTTTATGTGATCAATGTGGGATGGTGCTTGGGGAAAATTTGTTCTTGCAATTCCTTTAAACGTGCTATGCATAATTAATTAATCGTGCTTTGATTCAAAATGATGAGCTTGTCTATCAGTGTCCTTCGTAATGTCGCGTGTGTGTGCTTGTCTGCAGGGACACAGGAGCATCTGAGCCCCGTACTGCGAGATGTGACAGGATGCTGAACCATCACTGCAGAAGGAACCCAGAGTTACAGGAGGAGCTGCAGATCCAGGCGGCGGTGGCGGCCGGCGATGTCTACACCGTCCGCAAGATGCTGGAGCAGGGCTACTCGCCCAAGATCAGAGACGCCAACGGCTGGACGCTGCTGCACTTCTCTGCGGCGAAGGGGAAGGAGCGCTGCGTGCGCGTGTTCCTCGAACACGGAGGTAAAGGGTTTGTTTTTTATGACGGTTGCGAGATGTGCAGATCTGATTTAAAGCATCAGTTGGTAAGAAAATCTGAAATGACCAGCCTAGTTTAACATTTATTAAAAACTGTGGTTGGTTTGCTCCACTTGACTCTTAAAAGTCACTCTAAAAAAATAAGTTCACCTAAAAAAACTGTCATCATTTGCTCACTCGGAGTCATTCGGGCTCTTTATTATTGTCCTTATTATGCGAAAACACATATGTACAAGCTTCTCTTTTCCACACAACAAAAGCAGATGGAAATTTAAACTGCCAAGGTCCAAAAGGGACAAACAAGCATCATGAAAATGTGTGTTTTGGGTTCCTTTTTGTGTGTATTAATCACTATTTAATTGTAAATATGATCCCTCTCATGTAAATTTGATTTCAATTACTTTTCTCAATGATAACCAGTTTACGGTGGTGATATTTTACTCTCTTGCACTCTATTTAGGTTCCCTATCTTGTCATCTTTTATGGCTTGAAACACTAAACTGGTATTGTGCTTTTTTGATAGACACTGCTGTTCTGAAATGTTCATGTCTAGGTGTAGTAATGCATGCTAGACGTTAGGGGGCGCTATAAAACAAGGCTATTTTTGTCGAAACATCTGCAGATAGGATGAGCCACAATCAAGTGTTTAACTTTGCAGCTGCGAAGCCATCTGTACTGATTGAGATGCATTTATAAAGACTGTAATCAGAATAATCAATACCATGATATAGTGCTTTGATTAAAATATAGTAACATTATGCAAATTATGTAAATGTCTGCATACTCTACACAAGCTAATTATACACATCAAAGCTCTTTATATATGTTATGTTTGCCCAGTGCATACATTTGGCATATATGGCCAACTTAACCTAATGTTAGGGCTGTCGTGATTTATCAGGGTTATCATGATCATTGAAATTCTATAAATATCCTAAATATAACTTAATAATATAACTTTAAAATTGTGATTTTTTTTTTTT